TATACCCTTGGAGTCCAGAGTGGGTGTCGGATCCTCTGAATTTGGAGTTGCATATGATTGTGAGCCGCCTAATATGGGTGCTGGGAACCAAACAGGTCTTCTGGAAGGACAGGAAGCCTTCTTAACCACTGAGCTGTCTCTCCAGCCTCTTGTTTCTGTTTCTTTCTTGTTTTCTTTCTTGTGGCCACGGGCAGACCTGGGACCTTGTACGCACTAAGCATCTGCTCTATCACTGGGCTAAATTCTCAACCCCTACAACTACTTTTTTTTTTTTTTTGGTCTTTTTGAGATGGTTTCCTGTAGCCCCAGCTGGCCTGGAACTCACTGTGTAGACCAGGCTGGCCTCGAACTCACAGAGATCCACCTGCCTCTGCCTCCCAAGTGCTGGGATTAAAGGCGTGTGCCATGGCGCCTGGCTACAACTAAGTTTTTAAATTAAGAAATTTCTGAGCTAGACACTACATCTAGTTAAAAATTCAGTTTTAAACATCTGTTAAGTAAGCCTACCAATATATTTCAGTGTAAATCTCTAGATGAAGGAAGTAGGCAATTTTCAGAAGCATTTCAGGAAGAAAAAGTTAGTATGTTAAGTTCCTGTGTGTGTTGTGTGATGGTATCTCTTAAGGATTTCTTGATTAAATTCTTCTATTATCAATACCATAGTGCAGGAGCTGGACATTGGAGCTGGGCATGGTGGCACGTGACTTTAATCCCAGCACTCTGGAGGCAGAGGTGGAGGCTGAGGCCAGTGGATCTCGATGGGTTTTATGCCACCCTGGTCTACAGGTCTACACTAGTTCTAGACCAAGCAGAGCTAGTGCAACCTTGTCTCAAAAACAAAGCAACCAAAAAACAAACAAACAGAATATGGACATTGAAGTCACATTCAGTCTTAGATTTGTGTCCAGATTTTGTCACCTTCTAGGTATGTTGGCTTTTTAAAAAATTGACTTGGGTTTTCTGAACTTTAGTTTTTTGATTTGTGGAGCAATAGTGGCCTTCATAAAGCTTATGCAAATCAAATGACAATACATTCAGATGCAACATACATTACCTAATTTGATGTAGGTATTTCCTTCTGCTGTTGCTGCTGTTTGAATTATTTGTGATTCATCAATTCTGCTTGCATTATTGCACCAATACCCTAATCATCACAGCAGTGTCCTCATATTTTCCATTCCTCAATGTTTCTTAGTCTGTTTTCTGCATCACCCGTCAGTTAGGCTTTCTGTGTGGCCTTCTAGATAAACCCAAATACCGACTGCAAGCTTCCTTTCCTGGCCTAATTACTACTGGCTTGTTTCATGCCCTTTCATCCTTTCTCCTCCTTTGGCCCCTCAGTACATCTGATTATCTGTGTCCTCTGTATTCATGGTTTCTTTTCTTTTTTTCTTTGTTTTTTTTTTTGGCATTTTGATACAGGTTCTCATTGTGGAGCCTGGGCTGGCCTGGAACTCATTGTGTAGACCAGATTGCAGATTGGCCTTGAATTTGTGACTGATAACCTGCTTCTGCTTCTGCCTCTGCCTCCTGAGCACTGGATCACAGGCATGTACTAGCCACCATACGTGGTTCTATTTTTACCTGACAGTTTGGCTGTCATTACCTCTGCAAGTTAATTGTTCTTTGAGATCGCAAAGGATTCTGATTTTGCATATGCTTTTGGTTTTCTCACTTACGTCAACTCTTTTAAGCCAGAGGCTATGTATATACATATTACACATATGCACACATATGTATATATAAACATTTTATTTTTATTTTTTGAGACAGGGTCTTACAATGTAGTCCTGGCAGGCCTGGAACTTGCTATGTATACTAGGCTGACTTCGAACTTGCAGAGATTCTTCTACCTCTGCTTGCCAAGCATTGGAATTACAGATATGTACCACTCATGCCTCCACTCATGTGTGTGTGTGTCTGTGTGTGTATATTTATATATTTGTGTGTTTATGTATACATGTGTGTTCATGTGTATGCATGTGCATATGGAGGCTAGAGGTCAATGTTGGGTGTCTTCGATTGCTTTTGATCTTATTTATTTTGTGTGTATATGTGTGTGGGAGGGCACACATGTGGGTGCATATACATGTGTTTGCATGTGTATTTGAAGGCCACAGGTTGATATCAAGTGTCTTTCTCAATGGCTTCCACTTTATTTACTGAACTAAGGTCTCTTGGCTGAACCCCAAGGTCACCAGTTAGGCAACTCTGACTGGCCAGCATGCTGCAGGGCTCTCCTGTCTCTGGGAGTGCAAGTGCTAGGATTACAGGTGAGCTGCCCTGCCTGGCTTTTTTCGTGGGTGCTGGGGATCCAAACTCAAGTCCTTATGCTTGTATGGCAAACATTTTATCCACTGAGCCATTGCCTCAACCGTTCTCCATGTTGTTTTTTGAAATAGGCCCATTCACCGAGCCTAGAGCTCATTGATTCAGCTAGACTAGCTGGCAGGCAAGCTTCAGGGGTCCTCCTGTCTGTGCTTTTCTAGGCAAGCACCGCATATCCTGCTTTTACATGGATATTGGGGATCTGAACCAGGTCCTCATCTTGCATGGTCCCATTTCTATATTTTTGTACCTTTACTTTGGGATAGCTCAATTTCAAATCAGTTTAACTGATTATATTTAAATGTAGGGACTACAGAAATATCTTGATCTTGTATATACTTTGTGATCATATGAGCACCTTAAATATACTATGCTCTTTGGTGTAGAGTGTATCTCTATTTCTGTATAAAATGTAACTGGGCATAGTGGTATT